GATTGGGAATAACGCTCGCATTTATGTAGGAGTGGTGATATATTTAAGGAAAATCTTAAAGTTTCAAGCAAAAAATAAAAAAGAAAGAACGCTTACATTCATAGAAGAAATTTTTTGTTTCTGTTATTTTAGGTTATTGAGTTTTAAATTAATTTCTTAAAAAATATATAAGGTCTTGACCAAGTTACTGCGTTAGACTGAATGCTTAACATGTATACACCCCAACACACACGTTAACTTTTCAAACAACATTTGGTGGGTGCAAAATAGGACTTCTTGATAGTAGTCATGCACAAATAATAATAAATATAAAAGAAAAAAGGTCAAAATATATACGGAACCATGTTCAATGATCTAAATACCTTTTTCGTTAATAATTTAGGTTGATGTTCTTCACCGTAACAAAATTGACCAAACTACTAACGATTGATCATAGTTTAGACCATTTCACTTTCTGGCATAGTTAATGGATAAATATAGGACAATGTAAAAAACTCATAATCCTTTATCAACATAAAATGAGAACAAAATACACATCCACTTCTTTAAGGGAGTATTTAGGATTTCTGAAAATAAATAGGGTCTTTCTACACTACTTAGGAACTTTCCGGAGTCAAGTGAAATTTCTCTTTTATATCCCAACCGAAATGACTGGTTTACCCCGCTGAAAAACTAAAATTTGTGAATACTACCCCAATAATTTGGTCACAGATTCATCCACCACAATTCTACTTGGGATCCAGCTTCTTCAACTTCTCTCTGTTTCTCTCATTAACTGTACGTATTTTCTGTATATTTTCCCTATTTCTCAATCAATTTCTGCAGTATACATCAAATTCATATTATGTGCCTGTTTCCAAATTGATTCTTAATTTTGAATTTTTGAATTATGTGAATATTGATTAGTGTGCATTGTGCCCTTTGATATACAAATAAATAACTTCCAATTTACCAATAAAAATGGGTTCTTTTTTTTGTGGGTTTGCTTATTTAACTATAAAAATCCGATCTTTTTGTTGTTGTTGTGATAATGCAGAGAATAAGAGGCATCTGAGAGATTGTTTGGTTTAGATCCAAAGCAAAAATGGGATTTCTGGTAACAACTCTAATATTTGTCGCTATTGGGGTTATTGCATCTCTGTGCACCAGAATTTGCTGCAATAGAGGCCCTTCTACTAATCTGTATGTTCTTTTTGTTTCATTTATGTCTTTCCAGTTAGATTTCTGCATTACTTTACTGTTGATTGATTGTATTTTGTGATGCAGGTTGCACCTAACATTGATTATCACGGCGACTGTCTGCTGTTGGATGATGTAAGTGTGGTTTATAGTTGGAAATTTCTGTTTCAGCTGTAAAACGATATAAGGAGTAGATTACTATTGTTCCATGAAATTTTTATACTTGAAGATATTTGGAAGCCTTTAGGTAGTGTATGAAAATTTGAACATAACACCAAAAAAGTAGAGTATTGAATTCTTGCATTTCGTCCTTCAAGACTTTGGGTGGACAAAATAGACTGTTTAGTCGAGCCACAACACGGGCAGAAAGAAAGGGTCTATCTGAACCATTGATTTTTCATTACTGCTAAAATCTTCCCAAATTTAGCAATCATATCAAAGATGCTGTGGAAAGGTTAAAAAATTGAAGACTAGAAAGTAAGACTGCATGAAGCAGCGAAAAAGGAGCAATAAAACCTTTTTCAAGTTAAAAACATGATTTCCTTAATCACAAGAATTTCCGTATAAAAAAAAGTTAAAAAAATGATTTCTCTTAGCAATTTGCTGTAATATTTTAAGGAGTAGAGTTGGTAGACTAGCGGAGATCATCTGCTTGTTACCTAATAGACCACAAGGTTTTGAAGTACAAGCCTGCACCAATCTGAATTAACAATTTAAATTTATGAAATAACCCATTTCTCAACTTCTATGGCATGAAAGATTCCACATAATTTGGTAGACTCACAAAGAAAATTACTTGAAATTCTTACATTCAAATAGGAAAAGACTGAATCAGGTCAAACTGCAAAACATAAAAAAAATCCCTCTGCCCTTATTTATTTGACGTAATATGACTTTTATGGTCAAATTTCTGATATGATCAGGATGTTTTAACACATTGTGAAATATGATAATGACTTAAGATAGAGTTTTTGATGTACTTTCTAAATATTCACAAACTCAAATTTTAAATTCGTTATCTCTAACTTATTAATAATTTTGACATAATCATATCCGAAGCAAGTGACATAAGTTTTGATTGGCAGTAAGTCTATCTTTCTTAGCCTTGGTGACAGGGTTACCCAACATCTGAGCTTGTAGTCTGTAGTATGCTGCTCGATGAATTAGTTGTGCGCAAATTGGCCGGACCATTGTCATAAAGAAAAGAAGTTTGATTAGAAACGTAAAGAAATGAAAATAAAGTAAAAGTTTTTATGTGATCCTAAAACTTTAAAACACAATTTGAAGCTTCAGATGATAGGCTGAAGAATTTTATGTGATTAGACACTTGAGTTTTAATGTGATGGAATATCAGGAGCTGAAAACATTGAGTTTGCAATCTTATTTTAAACTTTATTTGCATCGAATCTCAGAACACTTTCCCCTTGATAGTTGCCTCAGGAAGGAAGAACGGAATGCAAATTCTGTGTTTAGAATAGCAAATTCATCTAATGAGAGGCTTTTGAACCAGATATATTAGTTGATTGCTAAATATGTGGTTTTGACTTTTGTCTCACTTTTCCCACCTCTACTTTTAAGTTGTTCAATCTCTTTTAGGTTTGAATCTTCTGAATACCTTCAATCAAACTTCTTTTTTGTCTTGCTTTTCTAATTGCTTCATCGATCATTAAGTTTGTGCGGTAGTAATTTCTTTTCACGAATCCCGTAGCTTCATCTTGTGAATGCTTGCCAAAATTATCTGAAGGTTGTTGGCAAATATTAAGCTCTTCACTCTGATTGATTCATCTGTGTTGGAAAAGAAAACTGTCCATCTATCAATATACTCTGTTAATTCTTCCAAAGGAAACCCTCTTGAATGGTTTGGTAATCTTCTAATTTAGGGCTTTCAATGTTAGCAGCCGTGTACATAATATGACGGTTCATGAATCCTGAAGATAACTAGGAGTCGTTAATCTTTAGGAACCACTTTTTCGTGTCATTCCACGTAGTCATTGGTGGATCTTGAACTGCTTTGGTGTTGCTCTTTGAGTGAGTTGTATCTTGGTACTCATAGCCTGAGGGGATCATACAACTCATGTTGACAAGAAAAAAAAGTCCAGGAGATTTGATATCCAATTTAGAATCTATCAGCCCCTCATTTTTTTCCCTCAAAAATAATGATTGTGTTATGAAACTTCTAGACAAGGTTAGACTTACGAAAAATGGATAAATAACTGAGATTCCGATTCTATTCAGGCGCTGTGATTACTGTCTGAACAGTTTGAAAAGAGTGAAAGGTGAAGTAGTCTAGAAATCCAAATTATAACTTTTCAAATTCCTACTGCAGCATCCAGTCGGGGCTTTACCAGTGCTAAATTGTCTTACCTCCAAATTTGGCCAACTCCTCAATGTGGAACTATAATGATATATGATATCTCTTTGTTGTATCTTGACGGCCAACTCTCCCATGCTAAGCTCTGACAATTCCTGAAGTCTTTTCTTTTATTTGTGTGCTTCTTTTAACTGCATAGTCCTGATCTTTTGCAATTATTTAGGTTTATCTACACAAGCACATATTAGTGCTTTAAGTGACATTCATATTTTGTTTTATCAAAGCTTATGAACATTTATTTTCCTTTCTTCTTTCTTGAATAGGTGGGCGATTGTATATCTTGCACAGCTGAATCCGCTCATTGTTCCAGTTTTGAGCGAAGGAGAGTAAATACAGCGTGTATGGAATTGTGGAGGGTGTTGATAGTTACTTGAGATTGCTGCACCCCTAAGTATTCTTCTCTCAGGCTCTCTGTAAACTTTTCATTTGGTGCAAACAATTTATAAGATTTATTTTTGTATATTATTCACCTCTTATAAAGTGGTTCTTTAAGAACCATTATTATATCCTCAGCCAATTCTGGTCTGAGGTTGAGGAATATGTATTTTTGGATTGGACTGAGTGTTGGATCGAGGGTTATAAATAAACAAATGGTTGTATGCTTCTGCATTACCTTTTATTATGAGGTCTGGGTTTGTTGACATAATGCAATTACTCAAGGAAATTAGTTCTACTAATTGTATAAACGAAGGTTTTAAATTGCGCTTCGTTTAATTGCGGATGATTTGGTGTGTAATGATTTTTAGATATGTAAATAAAAACATTTAGTATCAAGTAGCAAATGGAACATTCTGTGTAGAAAACAGATGGAATCAGCCATTGATACTTGTATTAGGGTAAGCTGTCTACACCATACCCTCTTAGGGTGCGTCCCTTCCTCGGACCTTACGTGAATGCGGGGTGTTTCGTACATCGGGTTACCCTTTCATTACCGGATTATTTGAACAAAAGATGAAAAGCTCCAAGTGCTTGACGTGCACCTATAATCAACAATGTGGCAATCTCAGATATATTAATTCGAATATGGAATTGCTTTTCTTCCTATCATTTTTCTCTTCCCTTTTTTTTTTTTTTCCCGCAAATATTGTTACAGCAAACTTACATAATGAGCAATAACTTTTCTCCTAGGACTAATCTCCATATTGAATGTTTAATTCTTTTCATTTTAAAATTTTCCTAAGTTAACCAACCTGGCTGTGGGTGGACAAATCTGTTGAGCTAATTGGGAAAAGAATACTGATTTAATTTCCAAAAATTAGAAAGAAAAATAGTCATTGGAAGTACATGCATGCCTCCATCATCAGTATCAATGTATTTTTCCAATTATTAATCCCACTTATAATTGAAGATTACAAAAGTTCTCTTTTGAGTGACTTTGTCATGCATATAGTTTTTTAAACTGTAACTCTGAGAATATGTAGAAGTAGACTCATATAAATCTAAGGCAATATTCAAAAAAAATAAATAAGCACTCCTTGAAATTTCATTGTTGAATTTATATTACACATAAGGAGTATCACACAAGGGGGAGGGGGAAAAAGAGATGTCTGAATTCTGAAGACATTATTTTGACATGTCTAGCAAAGCTTAATTAGCTGCCACAACTCAAAACTCAACTGGCTTTTTTCACAGATGTGATTGAACCAGAAGAGAAACTCACTGAATCATACCTTTGAAAAACATAAGCCACAATCAAAGAAGCAGTAAGAGTAACAATATCCTTAGCAGCACATTGTTTGTTTGATTCAGTTGGTCTCCCAGTCTGTGGTCCATTTGACCAAAACAAATAATTCAGCAATTCTTTCCCTTTTTCCTTTGTAAACCTTTCCAACACAAACTTTTCAGGATTATCAAACACCTTTGGATCTCTCATAACCAATGGCTGATATCCACAAAGAAGTTCACCTTTCTTGATTTCATAAACTGAATCATGTGAACTTAGCTTAAAATCTTTTCTTGCTCTTGCATATTGAGTTGGCACAGGTGGACTAAGTCTAAGTGTTTCATATACAAAAGACTGAACAAGTTCCATTTCTTTAACACTCTCAAAACTCAAATTTTCTGGCTTTAATCCAACTTTCTCTCTAACTTCATTTCTCAATTTCTCTTGTAACTCTGCATTTTTCTCATCTCCAAGATTTCCCAAAAGGGTTGGCAAAAAAATAGAGAAACCACCAAAAGCATTGAACCCAAGAATGAACAAAAGGTTATGTATAGCTTCTTGTTCAGTAAGTCCAAACTCTGATTTACCTCTATTTAAAACTTCCTTAGCTTCATTTTTGACAAATTGTATGAGTTTTTCATAACCACCTTTGACAAGGAAAAAAGGGTAACTAAAAGAGTGGACAAATATTTCTTCAAGGGGTTGAAGTACGCCAATACTAACAGTAGGTGCAAGTTGAATAGCTAGCCACGTGTCAAGCATTACGTAGCCAGAATTGGCTATTTCTGGTGAAGCTGATGGATTGGCTCCTAAGAGAGTGAGGGAAAAAAAGTTGAAGAGGAATTTTTGCATAGTAGGGAGAAGAGAAGCTGAGTTTGATTTTGAGATATCTGATTCGAAAGTTTCAAACATGGTGTTGAGTTCATTGACAAGTGTTGGCACCCATGTTTTTGAGCTTCTTTTTAGAATGTCCAATGAAAAGTTCTTAATCTGCAATTAAACAGTATAAAAAAAATTGTTTAACTACCAATGCATAATGATAAATGTATCTCGTAACTTTTGTTCTAAATCACCAAATCTTTTGTTATAGAAAATATAATCTTATTATAAGTAAGAAATAAAAGGTTAGTCAAGTGCACAAAGCATCCTGCAGTACCTCCACTCAGGGCACAAGAAATATGGGGATTTGGGTGGAAGGGAGTTGAGGAGAGTAGCTTAGAAAATTATTTTTCGAAAAAATATTTTCGACTCTCTAACCAAACACTAAAAAATATTTTTCGGAAATTTTTTTTCACTCACCAATTAAATATGAAAAAATAAGTGATAAAATCACTCATTTTTAGAAAAATATTTTCCAAGAAAAAATAGTTTCTTTCATATCAAACACACCCTTACAAGCTTTAAAGGACAATTAGTATTCATGTGTCATTTTGGGATGAAATCATGGGCTTATTTGGGCTACTTAAAATAAATGAGTTTAATTGGGTTGTGTCCAAACTTTAACCCATCATTAAAGCAGCTCATGCTCAACCCATTAAAGTATTGGCGGGTTGAGCGGGTCAAATGGGGTTGAGCCACTTTTGTCACTCCTAAGTGTAATATAGACAGTCTACCCTAATGTAAGAATTAATGCTTTTTCTACGATTCGAACTTGTAATCTATAGGTCATGCGAAAATAACTTTATATTTGCTCTAAGGCTCCCCTTTATTATATGTAAGAAATACTTAAATTAAACAAAATATTCTTAAACATATTGGGCAAACAATTCAAAGGGTAGTGCACAAGGATAGAAATTTTGAGACATTTGGAGTGAATGTTCAATATATAAAAGAACAAATGCCCTTCTACCAAGGCATTAGCCACATGAGACTTTAGTTATCCTTATAGTGTGATTGCAAGTGTCAATAGATATATAAAATCCGACTAACCCGATTGAATTGTACTGTATTGAACCGATTTTTAGTTCTTTTTAATAAAATTATAGGGTTTTATATAAATCTATAACCGTAACGATAATTAGGGTAGATTTTTTATTTTATGAAAATAAACTGAAAAAATATCGAACTGTACCGAATAAATTTACATGTGAAAAATACATTTATATATTAAGTTTGAAAATAATAAAGCATTAAATTTTTTTCCGGGCCTTGGAATTATGAAAACTATTATAAGCCAACAAGTAATTAAACTCAAAATCCTAATTCTCAAACTTATTATGCTACTCTTATTGAAACGAAATTACTTCCACCATATTCACTAGTAAGACACGAGGTATTGTAGGGATTATGAATAGCAAACTGCAATGTATTGAATATATTTTTTTCCGTATGATTTAGATTTATCTTTTTGAATATTTAATCTTTCATAAACTTTATTCTTGAGTCACAACTATTTATATTTTCTTTGTATTTGCTTACTGTAAATAGTTGATGGATCTATACTCTCGCCAGCTTTCAAATTTTCTTAATTCATAACCTTTTAAAATTTAAAATTGTCTAAAAAGTTTTGCTAAATCCTATAAAAGTACGTATGTCGTTCCATTCTACTCCTACTAGTGATTTTTACATGACATTTAAAAAAAATACTGAAAATTAACCAAGCGTACCGATACCGAAGAGAAACCAACATGATTGAAAATGTTTCAAAAAATCTAATTTTGATTATAAATAATAGAATGACCGAAAAATTAATATAGTATAAATTTTATAAAATAACCGGCCGAATCGAAACACTAAAAACCCTTAGTGATTGCTATGACTATTTAGAAGTTAAACCACTGAAGACGAATCATCAATAAGTAGTATTTTTGTCTTTTTAAAACATTACATAATTCTAGAAAAACATGAAAAAAAAGATCAACTAGAGATTTAAGGAGATATTTTGAAACTAATATCTATCATGTGTAAAATGTGGACACCTATGACTTTATTGTTTCACTGAAAGGCCAACTCTATTGTCATCTCCCCGTTTATGTCTGGACTTCTTAATATATATATATATATATATATATATATATATATATATATATATATATATATAGACATACTGGACCACAAGACAAATTAGTGTCAATTTCAAGTTGATGCAGAGTTGGATTGAAAAATTTACTTTATGTCTACTTAGAAATATGTTTTATTGCTTTTTTTCTAATACTTTTTAAGTGTAACATTGTACAATTTATACTAGTGTATGTAGTGGAGTAGAACTTATCATTCCTTTGTTTGAGCTTAAGAATTCGACATCTTTTGTCGCCCTCAAGCTTAAAAACTAGCCAAGATATGTGTTAATTACTATTACTATGTGTGGGGTCTATTTCCATAATAAAACAAAGAAAAAAGGGGATTGTGGGGTGGATTCCGTAATGAAGAAAGAAGAAAAAGATTGTGGAGTCATCCCACAATGAAGAAGAAAAATATGTAAGATGACAAAATTAGTAGTTGGCACCGAAACACGTTTTTTGATCAAAATTGGTTTTGGTTACGACACTTCTTCCTATAAATAAAAGCCTTCAACTTCTCATTTTACACACCAATCTCAGAGGAAAAATATATCTGAGAGTTAGAAAGAAAGAGTAAGGTTTCACAGACAGGGTATAAGAAAATAATCTGTGAGAAAAATAGAGAGTGAGCGATATTTTAGTGAGATGAGAATATCAAAAGAAAGTTATTTCTTTTGAGTGTTGTAGTGGTTTTTGGAGTATTTTTTTCGGACCTACAAAGTGTAAAATTTCTTGCTATAGTGATATCAGTTGCTGGTCTCGGGGCCGTAATTTTTTTTCCTTATTCAAAAGGGTTTTCCACGTAAAAATCTTGGTGTCGTAGTCACTCTTTTATTCTTGTTAATTACCGTATCTTGATGCTACGTTATTATTCCGCTTTTATTACTGTGAATATTATTTCTGTAGGGGATTTATTCCCAACAACTGGTATCAGAGCACAGGTTTTGCTCGTTCACAAAAATACTATTCACTGTCTGTAGTACTATACTCGGTAAAAACTAAAAATGTCCGGAGTAAAGTATGAGGTAGTAAAATTTAATGGAGATAGCGGTTTCTCAACATGGCAAAGAAGGATGAGAGATCTGCTCATCCAACAAGAATTATACAAGGTACTAGATGCTGATGCCAAAATGCCTGATACCATAAAAGCTGAGGATTGGACTGACTTGGATAAAAGGGCTGCTAGTGCAATCAGGTTGAACTTATCAAATGATGTGGTAAATAACATCATTGATGAAGATACCGCACGTGGCATTTGGACAAGGTTGGAAAGCCTATACATGTCCAAAATGCTAACAAATAAATTATACATGAAGAAACAGCTATACGCCCTACACATGGGTGAATGTACAAAATTTTTGTCACATTTAATGTGTTTAACAGACTAATGACACAGCTCGCCAATCTCGGAGTGAAAATCGAGGAAGAAGATAAAGCCATCTTGCTGTTAAACTTGTTGCCATCTTCGTACGATAATATGGCAACAACCATCCTGCATGGTAAGACTACCATTGGGTTGAAAGATGTCACATCAGCTCTTCTACTCAATGAGAAGATGAGAAAGAAGCCTGAAAATCAAGGACATGCTCTCATCACATAAGGTAGAGGCAGGAGTTATTAAAGGAGTTCGAGCAACTATGGTAGATCCGGAGCTCGTGGGAAGTCTAAGAACCGATCCAAATCAAGAGCTAGAAATTATCACAATTGTGATCAACCAGGTCACTTCAAAAGAGATTGCCCAAATCTAAGGAAGGGCAAAGGTGAAACTAGTGGCCAGAAGAATGACGACAACATAGCCGCCATGGTATAAAACAATGATAATGTTGTCCTCTATATAAACGAGGAAGAGGAATACATGCACTTATCAGGTCTAGAGTCAGAATGGGTGGTTGATACAACAGCATCTTACCATGCCACACCGGTAAGAGATCTTTTTTGTNGCATGCACCTGTCAGGTCCAGAGTCGGAATGGGTGGTTGACACAGCGGCATCTCACCATGCCACACCGGTAAGAGATCTTTTTTGCAGATATGTAGCAGGTGATTTCGGCACAGTGAAAATGGGTAACACAAGTTACTCAAAGATTGCGGGGATTGGTGACATTTGTATCAAGATAAATGTCGGATACACATTGGTTCTGAAGGACGTGCGACATGTACCTGATTTGCGGATGAACTTGATCTCGGGAATTGCTTTAGACCGAGATGGATATGAGAACTATTTTGCAAATCAAAGGTGGAGACTCACCAAGGGATCATTAGTGATTGCAAAGGGAGTTGCTCACGGCACGTTGTACATGACAAATGCAGAAATATGCCAAGGTGAATTGAACGCGACACAAGATGAGATTTCTGCAGATTTGTGGCACAAAAGAATGGGTCATATGAGTGAGAATAGATTGCAGATTCTTGCCAAGAAATCACTCATTTCTTATGCCAAAGATACAACGGTAAAACCCCGTGACTACTGTTTATTTGGTAAGCAACATAGAGTCTCATTTCAGACATCATATGAAAGAAAATTGAATATACTTGATTTGGTATATTTTGATATTTGTGGTCCAATAAAAATTGAATCGATGGGCGGTAACAAATATTTTGTTACTTTTATTGATGATGCTTCACGAAAATTATGGGTTTATATTTTGAAAACCAAAGATTAGGTGTTTCAAGTTTTCCAGAAGTTTCATGCTATAGTGAAAAGGGAGATATGCCAAAAGCTAAAGCGTCTCCGAAGTGACAATGGAGGTGAATACACTTCAAGAGAATTTGATTAGTACTATTCGAGCCATGGGATCAGAGATGAAAAGACAGTTCCTGGAACCCCAAAACACAATGGCGTAGCCGAAAGGATGAACCGAACCATTGTGGAGAAAGTGAGAAGCATACTTAGAATGGCTAAACTGCCTAAGTCATTCTTGGGTGAAGCGATTCAGACAACCTGTTACCTGATTAATAGGAGTCCATCCGTTTCGTTGGCGTTTGACATCCT